AGTGCTGCTCGCAGTACGCCAGACCTTTCTTCTCGTAGTGCCGGTGCCCGTGGAATGGTTTCTCACATTTGGCACAAACGAAATGCTGGAAATAAAAATTGTAATTAGAAATTGCAATGCGAAAGTTTAGATGGCCGAATGGATGGGTGTTTGTTAAAGTAAAAGTTCGTAACCTAAATTGTGGAATGAAAATTGGCATAGATATAGAGGATAGACTGGAAGAACACAACAAGTAGCCTATACTTATTTTTGTTTTTTATCCCACGCGTTTTCTAGTAGACTTGATCAGGAAGTGAGTGGCTGAAACGATTTGGAAAACGAATGGAAAAAGGGTAAGGAAATAATGATATTGATCAATAGTAACATTTTACATTTGAATTTGGTAAAAAAAAAATAAGTTACCTCAACATGCCAATGCTTGCCGAGCGCGGTGACGATTCTCTCCTCGATGGGGCGACGGCACGCGCCGCAAATGGGGATGCCCATTTTGTCGTGGCAACGCAGACAGAAAAGATTGTTCTGTAATTGGACAACAATGTTTAAATGCTTTTCTTTCAAAAACCAAGAAAGTCACTGAAAGGAGTAATAAGGTATTCCAATTTATGGGCATTTTTGAGCTGTACATTGATGTACATATCGATAAATAAAGTTTCACTGTTTGCTACATTATCCGCGCTTAACATAAGATGTTAAAAAATGTGGTATTTTTTAAATCATGGGCGACAGCTATTTTACTAAACTAATATTATAAATGTGAAAGTTTATATGGATGGATGTTTGTTAGTTTGTAGCTTAAACTTCTGAACGGATCTCGATGTAATTTGGCATAGACATACAGGATAATCTGGAAGAACACTTTAATTTCACGTAGTCAGAGTCGCGGACGAAAGCAAATAAGTATAAAAAGAAATGCCACGTACCACATCGTTGGCGGCGTACCCCGGGCGATGCTTGACCTCGCGCGCCGTGTGGTCGAGCTCGACGCCGCACGTCGCGCACGTGAAGTGGTAGCCGTG